CAGCAGACATTTTTTTGATAATATTTAAGTACAGCTCTTTTTTCAATTAAATGGTTCTCATGAATCATAGATGAAGAGGACATATGAGCAAACGAACAAGAAGTATACACAGTAAATTAACTGCCAGATCAAAAGCATCAGTTCCAAACTGGAAGAATTATGCCTCTGGCCTTCTTGTTATTACACACGACATATTTAACTGGTTTCAGGGTTCCTGTCATACAAAAAATGCCTGAAAACAACTCTCCCCTACTCCCCTACACATCTTCCTTAGGTTGTCTTATCTTAAAATTTCAGTTCCTATCTCCCCCTATGGAGGGGAGAAGGGAAAAGGGAGAGGGTGTTAACTGAATTTCAGTCTGAAGATTTTATACATTTTCAAGAGCCACCAAACAATCCCGAGTATTACTTCTCAATGGAATTGGAACATTTTGGTTAATGCCCAGCACAGATATAGATTATCTACGTTTGTCTTCCCTTATAATGAAATCATTAGTGCCCTATTACTTCATTCAACAGTGCACAAAAAAAAGGCAAATGTCAGTAAGGTCCTTTTCCAAAACCCAAGAAATTGAAAAAGGGTAGGAAACAACTGCAAAGCAGTAACACTTGAGAGGACGTTAATCAGCTGAGGGTCTCTAATCCTATTGAATCAAAAAGGGAAAAGACGACCTTGCCAAAGTTGCCTTGCAGGCACTTTCGCATCCCCCAGTCCTTTCCAGACTGTGTGTGTTTACCCTGGCTTTCCACTGCATGTTTTTTCCATCCTATCCATAACAGAAAAAAAACCCCGAATTCCACTACACTGGAATTGTAAGGAAGCTCAGTCATGTCTTACAAACAGTATGCTGTGCTATAGAGCATCCACAGAAACCTCTGGCAATCTATTTCAGAGACACAAGTATCTTCAAAGAATTACCAACTCATGGAATTGTTTGCTCAGAAATATTTAAAAGTTAAACATTAAGGGAAAAAAGCTTAGCTTTTCTTCTGTTTTGTTTCACAGGTGAAGATTTTCAGATTAATTCTGCTATCCAGATCTGCAAATAGACTGAATTCTAAAATTCATGCTGAAAACAAAGCAGGTTCTGTTCAGAAGAGCAATACGGATTATCTGTCCTACTTTTGGCTTCGACAGAACAAAATTCTGCTATGTGCTAAAATTAAGGTTTTACTTCAAGCATTAAACAAAAGAACCTGCAAGACCACGTGTTCACTGCTGTCCTGCAGTCCCAGCTAGCACTTCTGTTAAAACTCTTAAATCACTTTATATCCTAGAAGAACACACTTTTCTCCAATAATGTTACTATGCTAGAATATTTTATTCTTTGATAACCACCAGTTTATAGGATTTCTTTAAGGAGTATCTCCAGCATAATTTTTTCCTTATTAAACACTGGAGGATGCTACAGAGTGAGAAGTTGTACAAAAGCATGTCAGTGATCTTTGGCATGCTTGTGCGCCTTTTTAAAAACACACAGCTCTGTTACCCTTGTTTAACTGGGGTGCTCTACCTTAGCATTAAAAAAGATAGAAAAAGAAAAAAAAGAGCTTTTATAATCATGCTTGCTGTTATCCCCGATGTATTTTATATCCAGCAGCCAAACTGATATCTGACAGCAAGATCCCTCTGAAATACCAATTTCCTACAAGCTTTTCAAAAAGAGGTAGCCAGGTAAAGATAACCAATTAATACTCTGTTAAAGGGAAGTGCTGCATGTAATCCCTTCCATCTCTAGCAGACAAGGCAGCAGGACATGCAATGAACACTCTCATCACAGGAAAATCCCAATGGGTGCACAAAGTTCTCCACATCAAAGAAGTGACTTTTCAATTTAAGCTACCCCCTCACAGGTCCCCTGAGAGCGAGTAAGATGCAGAGTTCAGCTAGGGGTCTGCCCAAAGCAAGAGTGTTCATAACTTTGGTCTGTCCTGTTAAAGCTGCAAGGAACAAAAGGTGAAATCATGCTGCAGCTTTCAAATATCTTACTTAATGAGCCAGATGATGAGAGAATTCCCAAGGAAGCAAGGCTTTATCTACTGTTATCAAAAAAAACCTTGCTATGTTCTCTTCTGCATCCAAGAGGCACTGGCAAATAATTTCCTCCTACGACTTGGAATAACTTCTTGTATTTTTAAACATATATCAAGAACTTAAAAGAGCACCATTTGTTTTATCAGTAAATCTCTAGGATGATTTACAGCATTTTTTAATGACTGTAGGATTCAGGCAGTGCAGAATAGTAATTCAGTTCAACCTTTTCGAGCTATGCACTTTTCTTTGTGTAACTCAGGATTTTGAAACTGTTTAGCCAGTTTATTCCCCCAATTTACAAACACAGTAACTGAAAACAGACCATAACGCTGAGAAAGGGAATAAAACGGAAGTGAAACAGAAATATTTTTAATATTTCAAACATTTTTTCTAACATACATCACAGAGACTAATGAGTTTGAGAAAAGTGATATTCTGAAAGGTATCTTAAGTTCTTTCTTACCATTGACTTTTCCTAATCCTGGAGCTTTATTTTTCAGTAAAGTCACTTGAATCTGGGGAATGTTTGTGATGTTTGAATTCAAAACAAATTTGAAGTCCACATGTCCAACCATACAGGCTTTTGGTAGAACCAGTTCAAAGACATGCTCATCCCAGCTGTTGCTGTCAGAAAAAAAAAATAAAGAGGACAATGACCCAATGTTAAAAGAAAATTCAAGCAGGCAGCATTACCCAGTGCATTCTCCATCTATGCATACTTTATTTAACAAAAATCCCCAAATTTATTTTGTGTAGAAGTCTTTCAAGCTGCAGTTAACCATATTCATTTTGTCAAGAACACGTTAAAAGCCAATTGATAAGAGAGGGCTAATCAGTGTTTGAATAGAAGTAACAGTGAAAAGATTCCCTATTACCTTCATTACAGTACTGTTTCCACATTACTATAAATACCAGTTAAACACTTCTAGGAAGAAAAAGGAATGAGGAAAAAAATTACTGAAAAAGAATCTACCAATCAGTGAAGTCTATGGAAGCAGATAGTAACTACCCCGCCACCTCTTCAGTTGGCCTTCTCCATTGTGAAGTGTCAAACAATGTCACTCCCCAGCAGTACAACGTCCACATCCAGGAGACTCAAAAATACTAGTTTCAAATTACTTCTTTTAAATACAGGATGAGAAATACTTCTCAACAGGTTCACAATCAAAAGCCTGTGCTGTGCAAAATGGGTGCAGCTTTCTTTTTAAGAATCATATTTTCCCTTTGAAGCCAACTTTGGTTTACACTCAAAGTGTAAACTTGAGATAGTAAGTACCCTTCAATGATCGCTTTCATAGTTCAATACACTAAGGTTTGCAAAAAAGTAGTTCAAACCAAAGAGCAATTCAAATAAAACTAATCACACATCAACTGTCACATCTGTATACATTTTAAAATTAACTGCACTTCCTGATCTTCTCAATCTATTTGTAAATAATTTCTTACAATGTAGTAACTTTGATAGCCTGTGATTATTTGTGTAACTGAGAACGCCAAGAAACTGAGTATGCTGCTATGAATATTGGTTAAATGATTTTCTACCATCTAAATTACAAAAAGGTATTTAAAAATCAAAGTAACACGCTACACATCAAGCATTCTGCATAAAAGCATTTTCAAATAGATTGAGGATTAGTACATATATACTTCTTTGCATTTTTTACACTGAAATCCCTGAAGGTCGTATCTCCCTCAGGCAAATATAATACACTTACAATGGATTCCAAATACACATAATGAAATGGCACGCCAGATTTCCAGAACAAGCAACACAGAAAAGCAGTGGTTTTGGGAGGAAAGATGTACAGAAGCAAAACATGAACAGAAGAGAGCTTGTGGTTATGATTCAAGAAGCAACAGTTAAGAATTTCCAGCTAACTGTACAAGTAACTCAAAAAGACTAAGGAATATTCTGCTCATCCAGTTCAAGTTAAAGATGTGATACAAAACCAGAAATTAATAATAAACCATTTTTTCTGCAGTAGTCTTCTGTAGCCTGTATGTTGCATACAACACATACTGCTGTACCAAATTACAACTGTTGTCTACTACAGCTATTTTTGACAGAATTCAGCAGCAGATGCCCCAAAAGAAGTTTTAAGTATCTCTCAATAGGCATGTATGGAATAATGATCCTCCATGAAAGTCTCACTGTTGTGAAGAGATCTTCTTATATCTGTGGCAATGAACTTCACAATCTAATTCTGTGATGAGTGAAAAGCTCCCCTTTAAACAGTTTTTTAAATCTCTCATAGCTCTGTTTAAGCACACCCTCTTTATTAATGTGTGAAGTTTTAAAGAAGCAAAAAATTTACTTCCTTATTTTCTCAATATTTTAGCGCATCCATCCTAAATACCAACTTTTCCCTGATAATCTAATGCAAGTTCTTTTAGCAACTTTTCCCTTCTTTGAAACTCTTCTAAATCTATAGCATCTTTTTAAAGAAGAATACAAAATCAAGACTGTTCTAAATGCAAATACACCATCATCCTCACCACTACAGAGTATTTTCCATCCCGCTTCTTCATTCCTTTTCTAGAACATCTCATCAATGTTTGGTCTCCCACTACAACTGAACTTTGAGCTGCAGACCCATTCCCACAGCTTAAATACAGGAAAGCACATTGGTATCCAACTCTTCCTTCACTTGTGTTTTCAAATATGCCTGCATAAGACGAATACATAAAATATTTCCTACATAAATTTGTGAAAAAGCCCAGAAACTCAGGTATCACTGTTTTACCGAAGCACATTAGGAATTCATGCACTTTTTTTTAAAAGGACTAACTCAATTTAACATTTCAGTTAAATTACAACTGAAGGGGAAATACTGTATTTAAGTAATTCGTAAGGTAAACCAGAGTCGCTTTTTCTGTTTTCTTTGTTACACAGCCTTTTTAAAACAGCAAAGGAAGACTGAAAGAGTGTGAGTGTACTGAAATGCCATCGCCCAAAACACATTTACAGGACTGTTTATTTGAGAAGCAAAAGAATTACAATATCAAATTGCATTACTCATCCATCTAACCCTGTAATCTCCTATCTTGACAGGAATCAATATGAGAAACTCAAAACAGAGAAAAAGGGAACCTCATATTAAGGACCAACAAAATAACCCAGAAATAAAAAAATTTCTTCCCAGATTATCTTTTTGTTAAGAGCTAACGTTGCTCTCAATCTTAAGACTGTACATTCTACCCTATGAACAAAGGGACTGTAATGTAATAGTTATCATGAGTCATTTATTAGCTGTCAAAGATTTCCAGAATTAAACCAAAACTTTTCACTTTACCTCTTTATGTTTCTATTTTACTTTTCAGCAGGTATAATTCTTTTCCTCTAATGAAACAATATTCATAAACTAATGTTCCATTCACCACCGTCCAATTAACAGCTATTACCTTCACTGTTTGCTGCCTAATATCTTCGTACTGGTAGCTTTTTACTTTTTAACTGCTGCCAAACACACTGGATAATCAATAGTTTTAACTGGAAGCTGTATTGCAAGAAATCACCTCCTTTTCACTAGTTACATACAGAATATTTTACTTACACAAAGCAAAACCACAAGATAAAAAAAGGTTTTAAAGCCTATAATGCACTACAAGTTTTTAAACATAGTTCATGAGCATTTAAATAAAGCAAGTTCAGCTCATGTTAGGAGTCAGCCCTGGCAACACCTGCAACTATTACCTTCCAGACTTGTTTCTCCACCTGGAATGCTTCATTATCACATGGTGCCTTTCACTGATTCATATAAGTCTTCCCCCCCCCCCCCATATCATCTCTAGCTCCCCGAGCATCCTTTGGCTATTTCACCATTTCCACTGTATGGGCATTTAGATTTTACATTACTATCCAAATCCCATATTCAGTGGGACAGATGTGTGACAGTCTGACCCAAAAGGCCTTGTAGCACCCTATTACACGCATCCCTTAACAAAACATGCAACACAACTCATACGTATATTTTATTTCTTCCAGCATGTTTCAGAAAAGCTTTGTAATGCTACTTCACGTGGGTTTTAAGCAACTCTTCAATGAGACTGCAGCACTGCTGTTCTAGTCTTTCAGCATTTCAGAGGAACTCCAAGTTCTCATGCCACATGTAAAAAACTAAGAAGTATTACACATACCACGTTGGCGCAGTTCATTTCAGTGAAAATACTGGCTAAATTTTAACACAACTAGGGCCCTAAAATGGCTTAAGTAAATGTCTCACATATGAAGATTTAACTTAACATGAACAGACATAAATTCCGATTCTATCTTCACATTTTAAAACAAATTACAATACAACTTTGTATAAACTAATTAGTCACGCTGGCACCTGCAGCTTGCATTTTCCAATTTAAAAATGTATTAAAAATGTGCGTATGCATAAGAAGGCTGAATCAGACTTTTATAGAAAGAATCAAGACTATCTGTAATTCTGGCAAATGTACTTGTCTAATTATATAATGAAATAGCAACATGTGACAAACAAAATGACATGAATGAAACAAACTGAAAAGTCAAGTTTGAAAAGGCCACTAAAACAACTCCAGCAATCTCACAAAGACCTATGATGTGAACTATCACATAGGGATTATCATCTTCGAAAGCACACATTCTTAAACTTGCACACTACTTCAAAACAATTGAATTGCATGAAATTTGTGCCAATATCAGCTATACAAACTAGTTAAGCCAACACACGATTCTTTCTGCACCCATACTCTACCTACCTGTCTGTCTGTAACTTCCAAGTTCGAGTATGCTGAGCTGCATCCCCATGATGCTGCTGGTGCAAATGCTGCGGATGCCGCCTTTGCTGCTGCTCTTGCTGGACTTCTACCCAACAGGGAGGGACAGTGGCTGAAAACCGGGGCGTCAAGGTCTCAAAACGGGTCAGTTCCACCAGGGATGTCAGGGTTTCAAGGGAAAATGGCTGGTCCACCAAAAGATCGACTCCTGAATAATTACAGAACATACATTAATTACCACAGAAATATTTTCCCAGAACATCCTATAAACAGTTCAAAACGTATCCGAACTGCTAGAGGTGCAGTTAAGTACATGTTATATGAAGTTTCTAAACCAAAAAAAACCACCAACAAAAAATCCAAACAAAAAAGAGTCTACAACAACATAAACCAAACACAAGCAACCAAACAACCCTAGCCTTGAGGGAAGTATCCTTTGAACGCAGTTCATTTTGAATAAATTTTTCAAGTACTGAGAGCTCTGAGCATGCTGTCTGGAATTCAAACAGAAGTATCAGAAAAAAGTAATTAGCCAGCCATACTGGTTATACTGATTAAAACATTTTAATACCTCTATTGACTCAGATTAAAAAAGAAACAAAAGTTCTATATTTCATGAAAGCAGACATATGGAATTACTATGCAATTGTAACATTTTTATCACTGTTTAAAACATTACATTGGCACCTGCCTATCAATATAGACCTGTTCTATGATGGATTACTAGCATGTTTTGGAAGGCTCCCAATTTAGCTCCTCTAGAAAGAGGGCTAATTGAAAAAACAGATATGTTTCATGTAATGCACTTTTTTGACACTGGGCCTAGGCACGTATTTTGTCTTCTTGTCTTCATATTCATGTCTTGTCCTGAGGAAACAAGGATATTAATTGAAGAAGTACTGAAAATTTCAGTTTCCCAGGGAGACAAATACCTGAAGAAACATTACAAAGGAACTCCAAAAAAATCAGATTTCCTCAGACAAAAAAAAAGTACTTGAGTGAAAGTAAGATACGCACAATAGAAATTTTCTTATATTTCAAGCATTTTCACTTAAAAACACATTTTGAAGAAAATCTTTTACTTGTAAATAAATGATGGTTTTCAAAAGGAGAAATCTTTGCTACCTGACTACTACTGTCACCACCCCTAGGGAAAAAAAATAAAAAATTTAATGCACTAACATAAATACCATCACCCCAGTGAAGACTGAACCTAGAGACTATTTTGCAAAGCAAGCCAGGTTGAAAGCAGAATAAAAGCAAGATTACATCCTCCAGCTTGAGAGTAGAAAGGCACATGCAACTCTTCCCAAGAAGTGGAGGAGTACAAGATGAAAAAGTGGAGAAGCTCTACTCCACTCTAATGAGAGCCCACCTGGAGTACTGTGTTCAGTTCTGGGGCCCCCAGAAGGAGAAGGGCATCGAGCTGTTGGAGCAAGTCCAGATGAGGGCCACAAAGATGGTCCGAGGGGGCTGAAGCACCTTCCCTACAAGGACAGACTGAGACAGCTGGGGCTGTTCAGCCTGGAGAAGAGAAGGCTCCAGAGAGACCTTATTGCAGCCTTTCAGTATCTGAAGGGATCCTACAGGAAAGCTGGGGAGGGACTTTTTATAACACCAGGTAGCGATAGAACAAGGGTAATGGGCTTAAACTGGAAGAGGGTAGATTTGGGCTAGATCTTAGGAAGAAATTCTTTACTGGGAGGGTGCTGAGGCACTGGCACAGGTTGCCCAGGGAAGTTGTGGATGCCCCCTCCCTGGAAGTGTTCAAGGCCAGGTTGGACAGGGCTCTGAGCAGCCTGGTCTGGTGGGAGGTGTCCCTGCCCATGGCAGGGGTCCCTTCCAACCAAAACCATTCTGTGATTCTGAGATACCCAGAGTCAGGCAAAAAAACACCCTCATTGCAACAACTGTGACTTCTACTTTTCAATCTAGGTGGCAGGAAAATGCTCAAGAGATTAGAAATTAGAAATGCTTTAAAAATTTTGTTGCAGTACGACAGCAAACACCTTAATTTTTTTAACTGCCAAAATGTGAACCTCATTAGCTAGGTAACACTGCAACAAGAAGTGAGATCACAGCTCAAACTGCAACAATTCTACCTTTGAGTAGATTGGATTTTTCTGCTTCATTCTCCCTCTCCCTTCAACAGAAAATTACAAAATCAGAGTATTCAGAGCAACCAAATGCAGAGCAGTATCAGTCCCTAAAACTGAAAAATGAAGGTCTTAACTTTCCCATGCTGTCAAGTATACTTGGCTGCTTCTGCTGAATTGCATGGTTTTTGTTACATTGTAATAATGAGTTATGACAAGCGGAAATTCTAATAGCAAACTTGAAAAAAGGTTTTAAGCAGGTCAGGAAATCAAGTTTTCTTTTTCAATTAGCTTCTTAAAAACACATTATTTTAGATCATTTTACCACAAAAAACCCTCCACTCCTTATAAGAAAAAAATAATTTTAACGTAATCTAAGATTTACAACTTGGTAAGGTTAACATATTTCCTCCTAAAACAATGCAACTTAAAATGTATCCAAGTTATAAATGCAGGCTTATATTAAATTTAAGAAATGCATTCCAGAATGCCAGCAATAGAGAAAAATAAATACACAAAGCCCACAATATATATTAACTATATATGGACAAAAACCTGTGCTCGTTGCTGTAGTTTGTATCCTGACTACAGCAACTTTTAGCTGGTTTCAGAAAACACCAGTGATTTCACAAAAACACCCTGCTGCTGCCTGCCATCAGCTGTGATCAAGATACAGAGATCACAGCCTTTTGTTCACTCAGATCCCCCTAGGATTGCACTTCCCCAACCAGAAAGCTTCCTGTTGAGCTATGCCTCTGCCTGAAAAACATGCTAAAACAGAAGTGCAAAAAGAGGTTTTTAACGCTGTTTAGCACTTGGATGAAAAGGGAAGCAACACTGACATTATAAATGTTGGGGGCAATGTCTGATCATGATCACGTGAGCCTTTTAGTGGCTCAGTTTGATGCCACAGCAAAACAGCATTCAATTTATCTGACCATTACCGTGTATCCAACAACTCTTTGGAAACCATTACAGACCAAGACCAAGCAACACTACACTCTCAGTTACAGAGCTACTTAAAGGAGGACCTGTATCTTATGGACAATCTAAGATACAGCCACTTTGAACTCTATGCATAAGTAAATTCCTCGTCTCAATAAGCCATATTCAGGCTTGCACTGAAGGCTGGATTGGAAAGAGAACAAGAAAAAACAAAATAAAAAAATGCCCATTACAGTACTGGCAGAATTTAAACAGCAATGATCATCAATCTGATTCATCAGATTAGTCACAGTCATCATTGGATTGGAAGTCACTTAAATCTGCTAAAATGCCACTGTATAGGCAATGCATCCACTGGAGCACATCTATGTCCTGGATATTTGCCATTAGCAAAAGGAGAAAGGTACAGAAGAATGCCACAGACTTCTTCCCCTTACAATGGTTTATTATCTAGCTGTTTTCAAACTTCAGGAATGGTCCCTTTAGCAAAAGGAGGAGAAGCAGGAGAAATTCAGTCTTCAGTGCAGAGGAGAAGGCAGCAACTGCTGTACTGCTACCTACAGATAGTATTATGACAAAAAGCATCTTCTCCTTCCCTCATTTGATTGCCTTTTGCAGAGTAAAATCAGGGGACTTGTAAACACAGCACAACACAACTTAGTGTTACAAGGCTGGCAACAAGCAGCAGTTTGGGGAAAAAGACAGCAAGTAGCCTGTTGACAACAGAGACGCCATCCAAAATGGTCCCGGTACTGCCACACAGTCCTTTCCCAGCTTTTTTTATCCTCTGTAGCTGTAGGCAGAAAAACCCTCCACCACACACATGCCCACACAAAATTAACATTACTTCTCTGAAACAGTCATAGCTACATGAATGGCTTAATTCCATTGCACCACTGCTTTATCTTCATGCATTATATTATTTATTCTTGTATTTTATATTCTAGGTTCTCTGTTCCCAGTATATACCTATTTCTGTCCCAACAGACATGACTAAAACTTCCAAACTCCAATCCAACTAAAATAGTTATGTTTTGTGTCTCCATTTTCAACAATTGTAGGTTAAATAAAAATTAAAAACAAGTTTCACAGCTCTCTCATAAACAATTCCCTATGAAACTCAAAGCAAGACTACACATGTGCATACAAACTTCAGCATGATCTGAATCTTCCTCAGGCTTAACCAGAAAAATTCAATTTGTTATTAAGTTTCAGTAACAAGTTATCTACATTAAAGCATCTTTGATAAAGGCTAAGAAAAGATCGAGGCACTCACAGGAGCTTGAATAACCTGCGTACTCACTGTTATCAACAGCAACTGCACTGCATGAGGCAGAGAGAACATCAGTTTCACTGTGTGCAACAATAACTGTTTTGTACAGTTGTATTAAGTAGAGCTGTACAGCTTCTGAACAGCTTCTGCATGAAACTTTAAGGCAATTTTACATAATGAACATGTAATTTTAATTCTAAATAAAGAGCTCAAGCCTATTTAAAATATGAGGGAAGCTCAGTGCCTGCATAGTCGTCTGTTTTTGCCTGTCTGCCACACTTAAAATGACATGTAAAGTTTGGAAAAAAAGACAGTTATACAAAAGTTGTGGAGTATTTTAAAATCAGGAACTGCTGAAGTGTTATGCTTGCACATAGACACACAGCAACTACAGAACTCCAACTTCAGACAGCAAAAAAATATAAAGCAGCATGCTATTGAGTAACTTAGAATCATCTTAATATGCAAGTTGCAAAAATGACAAAAGCAGTTTTACTTATGATACACTTAAACATGTGCAATTCACCTGTAATGCCTGGACTAGAAGGGTTAGATAAGGGCTTGGTGCCTTCTGACGACTGTTCTACGCTTTTGGAAAGGGATCCATCTACAAGTATATCGGCTTCATCTATGTCATCGCAGGTCCCTCCAATCTGAAGGAAATGAAGTTCTCCACCTAAAATCATCACAAACAACAAAAGAAGAAAGTTTAGACAGGCACACAGCTAAACTCAAGTCACAAGACAGGCTTGCCGCTGAAGTGCTACACAATTTTAACTAATTCTGCAGGACCTGAAACCAGTAAGATTATACAGCAACACTCGTTTTACTACTGCAAATTTTTTTCAGAGTAAATGCAAAACAGAACTACCAAAATACTGACGCCAGTTGTGAATGGCATCAAAGGAAAAAGAAATATTGGAAAGGTAAAAGGTAAATAACTAAGGAAACTTCAATAGAAACCCAAGATCATAACCACAACACTTCCCATAATTCAAAACATGCTTTAAACAGAAAATACTCCATCATGTCAACAGAAGACCTATGCTACCTCATTTGTTCAGGTAGCAAAAAAATTCCCTTTTAAAGTTCAATACTTGAGAACTGAAAAAAATCACTTCTTCAATGAACTCTCCTAACTAAGGGGCTCTTCACATTATTTCATCAAACCTGGAATTACAACACAGATCATGTCAACAGTCAAAAGATTAAGTCCAAACTTTTCAATGGACCCAATGTTTTGTTGGAAGCTTGAAACCATTTAAGGAAGTTGCCTATTATTTGCCACTACAGATATACACAGACAAATTCTGTCATTTACAGAGAAGTCCCAGAGAAGAAATGCTCAATTGTAGAGAGGGCTGGGGGAGGGGAAGGGCTGTTCACAGTTTCAGAAGCTACAAAAAACCCTAACCAGTAAGCTATAAATAGAGAGGAAAATCCTAGGGTGGGCCTTTCATAGTTTTTTCTGAAAATAAATTTCAGGCTGTCCTTCAGCATCTGCCTAATGTTATGACAAGCCTTGTAATGCAAATTATCCAGGTAATTTGAAACAAACAAACAGAAGATAATGTATATAATAAAAAAAACAATGTAAAAGCAAAATCACGGGGTGAGAGGAGCGGAACAAGGCGACAGAGGCACAGTGAGGCAGAAAGCAAGCGTGTGAGAGGCACAGAGAGGGCTGGTATAGGGGTTTTTTTTCCTGCATCTCAATAAAGAAGCCCTGCCAACAAATGGCTAAATGAAATAGCTGTTTTAACCAAACAGAATAAGAGGAAAATAATAGCTCAAATAACTAGAAAGCAAAAACCTGTATACACTGGGAAAATCCACCCGGGGTCTGGGTGATGCTGTACAAAACCAGGGCTCCGAGCATCTGAAAGGATGTGAGATGGTCTCGCTATCTGCATTTCTCTTTTTACTCTCTCTTCTTAAACAGCTACTTCATGAAGTCATTTGTTGGTGGGGCCTTTCTCACTGAAATCCAGTAAGAAGCCTGTACTGCCCCCGTTTCAGCCCCAGTCCATCCACGCCCAGTGCAGAACAGTACATCCCAAGTAGATCCCGAGAGTGGAGAGGCAAAAAAAAAATTAGTTCTAGCAAATAACATTTACAATTAATTTCCTTGCAATTAAACAGCTCACAAATGAGCAATTTTCCTCCAACAAAGAGAATTAGGGACACACTAGAAAACACAGACCTTGATTTGGTAATAAGTCAAATCTCAGTTTGTTTCCTGTTCTGTTTGCTACCGAAAGATCAATGATCAGAATTATCTAAACCATACTCTCCTGTCCTGGAAATAAAGTCCACCCTTCTGCAACAGAAGTTCAACATACTGACCTGCACCACCTGCCAGTTCTGTGTCTCACAGAAGGAGAAACACTGAAGAACTTCAGGAAATTGTGGATTTTTCTAAGGGAAAGTTATGCCAAGGTCTCACTTATTCTGTAGATGGTTGGGTAGGGTTTGGCTTTAAAGAAACAAAACCTTGGTTCTCAAACTAAGTTTGAGTTTCTGTCACTAATTATCAGCAGCAAAAAAGTCCTTACCATTTTCTCCATACTACAAGAGCAAGAGAGAGTCACAATCCCTGCATTCCTAAATGACTCCAGCACTTTTCCAAGAAAAATTCTGTGCTTAACTTGAGATCTCAGTTCCTCATATTTGTTTTTAAAAAGCTTCAGTAAAGAAGTTTATCATGAACTTCAGTTATACAGTATTAGCCTATAAAAGGACTAGTGCTTATGCACACGTTCTAAAACCCTGCAGGTGGCTTTGCTTCTGTATCACAAAGGAGGTGTTTGTTCTAGAACACTCAAAGATGACCTGATCATGATGCATGCTTCATTATTTGTTTCAAAGATAAATGATATAATAGTTCCTATAGTCAAGTGCCAGGAAAAAAAAAAAGTCTGTGCAAAGTCAATGCTGCCTTTTTTCTTTTTGGAATTATTACTGGCTCATGGTACGCACTACTAGGCCGAAACAGCAACATATCTGGTGCTTTCTAAATCTAGCCAGGCAGCAAACACCGTAAGTAGCAGTGTATCTGAAGACCTCTCTGCGTGCATCACTTTGACAGAGGTGACAGATGATGCACTACAAAGAAGGTAAGAAAGCTGACACTGACTTACTCAGTGATCACAAAGGAGAATAACTGGAAACCAGCATCATTATAATTCCTGAAAATAACAGGTAACACATTCAAAAGACAGTTAATTTAATTCTGAATTGTATTTAAAATCTGTAATTTGCTCAGACTCAAAAACCTGGTGGGTTATACAAACAGAACCTAAGAATCATAAATCCATTCAAATAAATCCCAAGCATTCTCCTGGCAAAACAATTAACAGTTCCAGGAAAGCAGCACTGGCATGAGTTACAGAACATGTCAGAGACAAGGTCATAGCAGTCAAAGCCGATCTGGTGAGGTGTTCACTATCCCAAACATATCCTGCACTCTGGCTGGAGGCTGGAAGAGTGACACCATTGTTGATACCAAACGACAACACGAGGACATCACTGAACAATACCTGAACAGTTAAAGGAATTAAGAAAGCCATATCACATGAAACTATCCACGGAACAATTTAAAGTCCTCCTCGTCTCACCACTGGGCTGCAGAGAAAGGGTTAGCTCTAAACATATCAGTTCAGAACACTTGAAAAATGTCCTCAAGAAAGCCTCCCCAAAACCTCACTCCAAGAGAAGTTATGCTATTCTTGGAGATTCCAGCTGTAAAATTCCATCCTGGCTTATGAAAAAATAGAATGCAATTGAACAGGGACAAGTGCAAGTTACTATGCCTAGGAAGAAATAATTAAATGCACTATTGTGGGATAAAGGAAAATCAGCTAGCCAGCAGTTCTGCAAAAGAGGCTCTTGTGAGTCAGAAGACGAACCTGATTCAATTTCCTCCTCAAAAGTGCAAATGTTCCACTATATATACGCACACATGGTATGCACAGACTGCAGAGCTGCTGAGGAATTCTGCTGTTTCCTTCAAAGTAGGATTACTGTGCCTGGTTTTGGTTATCTCATCAAGAAACATGTGGATTGACTTGAGCAGGTCTTTTGGGAGAGAAGAGTAAGTTTTGGGTTTTTTTCTTTAAAAGCCCCTGAGGAAATTTTAACAGGATTGGAGAAATTCAGCTTAAAAAAGTTAATGGTTGGGTAAGGACAGTACCTAAATAAACTGTCTTTCCTTCCTTTTTTTGAAGCAATTTTTTCACCATGTTCATAAGGGACAGTAATGACTTCAATCAGCAAAGATGATACAGATTAAACACAAGGGGGGGGGAAATCATCAAGGACAGCATGCAGTAGAAGAAATTTCAGGAGTAGGTTATTAAATCTCCACGTTGAATATCTTCAAAACCAGGCTGATCTGCACTCTACTTCTGAACATGTAACCATAATTGATCCAGATTTGAAGATGATCTCTCTCAGCCACTTCCAACACTAATTCTGATGTGGAAAAAACTTGATTTCTCCCCAACTCCATCAGACCCCACTGCTTATGAAGACGGAAAACTGAAAACACTAAATTGATTCTTGAACTTCAAGCTGACAAAGCCTGATGACATGGAGGAGACAAACAAAATATCCAAGCAAAACCAGAAAAAAAACCTACAGAGAGTAATTAATACACTATATACACAACTCAAGAGCAAGAAATCTGTTCTAATTAGAAGGTACAAGCTTTGAGGAAATCAATTCACAAACGTATGAAAGTGCCATCCAGTTTGTCAGACTTCCAAAAAGAAATTCTAGCATAGTCAACTCACTTTCAAGAGACCAAACTCCAGCCTGAAAAACTTCCCCCAACAAAGGAGAGTGACTACAAAAACTCTTGTTATAATGCAACGCTGCAGACAAGAACTTCCAAGAATTATGTATATAGAAAAGAACATTAAAAAGAATAATCACAAAACAGACACTCGAAGAAAAAAGTGCTTATACATAAAAGTGTAGAACCATCAAGTAAGATAAAAATGTACATGATGAGTTACATTCAGTGCCTGCAGTCTTTTACGACTTCCAACTCTGACTAATTCAGAAATTGACATTATCCGTAAGAACTGATCCAATGTGATCTGGGAACTGCTATGTGTGAAAAGCTGATTATGGAACTTCAGTGAGAGCTGGGTCTTTTTGTCTGTCGGCTCTGAAGCAATACAGGCAGAAAAGAGAAGTGCTAGAAAGCAAGAGTGCTGGAGTTCTTTCGTATGATGAGAACAAGCAGAAAGACTTGTTTTTTCCCTTGCTTTTCTCTGAACTACTTCCATATTATAATTAAACAGAAAATAAAACTAAATTAATTTAGGGAACTACTGGAGAACCACATACCTTAAAAATCAAATTGACTTTCCATTGAGAGATTTTTTTGCTAGATGTAATGCTATTACAAGCGCTTTCAACAGGACTCAACAGGGAAATGATTTACTGTAAATCAACTCAACACAGACATTCAAAAACCAGATTTGTGAAAGAATTAGATTGCAAATTTCAGGTGAGCACAATCCAGGAATGCTTCCCTCACTGGAAGGAACTCAAGTACCCAAAACAGAACATACAGATTTTTACACCTACTCAGTGAGACAGTTTGGCAAGGAAGAGCCTGCTTCACCTCAACATTTCCACTTCTTGTAGCATTTGTCTGAAATGCCACCTGACTTGCCTACTCAACAATATTGCTCCAGAGAGCTTCAGACCTGAAGATCGAAACTTGAAAAGGGATAACATCAGTAGTGGTGAAACACAGAAAACTGACAATTCTTGCTGACCTTTTTAAAAATACTCCCAGAAATACAAGTACACACTATTTCCGATACTGCTAAAACAAAATACAAGCAGAGATTTTCACCTTTATGTTAGATAAAAAGGGACATTTCAAGTATGTCCATTTTTCCACCTCATTCCATGTTCCAAAGCAAAGTTCAACAAAATTGCCTGAATGGCAAACACAGCTAGCAGTTAAACTAAGGAAACAATCCAAACCAAACCAACAAAAGATAAAGTAGAATGTACACTGCGGACCATTCATTTAAGTAATTCTTGGTAGAACTGTTGCAAAAGAAAAGGAAATACAGTTAGATGAAAACTAAGATGCAAAGAAAGCGGTGATAACTGTGGCTCTGGAAATTTATGCATCCAACACAAACAATATCTGATCCTCTTAAACACCAGATAACAGGCTTCAAATATCATAAAAAAAACCACCCCACAGCTGTAACCCTATTCAAAATCAATACCTGTTAGCCTACTGCATAGTTCTATAATAAGGAATTTACTTATTTTAAATGCTACAAAAGCAGAATTTAAGCTGTTTTATACTAATGACACAAAACAAAACATTTAAAACCCCCATATGATAAGACACAAAACACTACTAAGAGGGCTATTAACTACAGTCTGCCTTGGCCAAGGGGAATAGAAGACAGCAAAACAGAAAGAGATTGAATCCACTATGTTTGCTTAACACCACTGCAACCAAGAATATACTTGCACAGTTCCCTCAGAGGTCGACTCCAGGTAATCCTTGCAGAAACAGAGAAGCGCCTGAAGCTGACACCAAGAGGTCACATTTTGAAGCAGGGTAAGAATAATTGTCCCCAGTTCACAAAGATGGATGAAGTCAAATGCAGGTCTCAAACATCTTTACATAAAACCACTCAAAACCTGAAACACCCATTCACAGAGGTTTCTTTTCAGTTGTATCCTAAAGGCAGCCATGAGAAGAGCTACATGATCTACCAATGAACATAACGTGTCAACAAGCAGGAGCCACAGGGAATAAAAAGGCTGTTCTCCAGCCAAAACTTTCAAAAATTGAAGTACCTCTTTGCCTACCCCCATCATTCAAGCAAGTGAATGGGAAAGAACATACTGCTCAACTTATATTCTTGAATAGTTTTCCAAAAACATCCAAGTATATCCAGTACATGTTGGTTCCGAATCTTCAACTTAACATTTTCACTTATGTCTTTCACCAGAATCTAACTGCTAGAAGGATGAATACATCAGTGAATATAGTAAGATACGTGCGGAAAGTTGAGTACCTAACACTATCAGACTGCAAGCATTTTCCCCGTATGTGGTAGTAAACACAGAGAAGCAAAGGCCTCAAAGTGATTTCAGAAGAAGCCTACGAAAACTGCATTTAAGGAATAATAACAAAATATCTTCAGCTGCCTAGCAGATAAGCAAGCAATTTTCCCCACTTTCAGTCAAAAGATAAAAGGATGACTGTGATTCAACATAAAAATTATGCAAAACCTATTCCTTACATCAAGTTATTCAAATGTACAATAAGATAGAGGATAAAAAAAAGATATATTAATAGTTGAGCTTTTTGATTTGCTTTTTCTTTTAGTATTCCTGAATTTTATGCAGTACATTTATTTATAAACATTTAAGATCAAGTCATTCTTTACAAAGCTTCGTGTTTCGGCATAAACGGTAGGACTCTCAAGCTTCAGACATAGCTAGTATCACACCCTGAAATCCAGACTTCTAATGGACATTGGTCCCTAAATATTTAAGATGGCTTTGGTCTTCATTTCTCAGAAGTGAGAAAAGTCATACCAGGAGAAGTGACTGAAATGTTAAAAAAGGAAGAGAAATTGAAAGCTTCTAAAGACATTTAAACAATGAAAATAATGAATTCTGAAGTTCATTCTAATTTGACTGCAGAGCAGAAAAATCAAGTTCCAAATAGAGGCACAGTGGGTGTAAACAGACGATAAGAATAATCAAAGGATTAAAAAAAAGGGCTATCAAAGTACTATATTCAAAAAAGGAAACTTAAGGGCAGAGGGATGCCTGTGGCATATAGGACATATATAGGCATATATAGAATAAAAAATAAAATCCCAGCCATCTTAAAGGCAGCAGGAACAAAAGAAGTCACAGCAAAGCTATTTATAAATTACAAGATCAATACTATAACACTCTCAGAGAGAAAAAAATACAGATATTTACTGAAAAAGCAGAATGACGTGCTTGTCTATTATGAGGAAGATGAAGTATTCTCCAGCCAGTAACAGAGGTGGTGGTTATCTAGGCAGAAGAGACAAATACTCCTACACACACAGAATAAGTGCTCCCAACTCAACAGACCTCTTATACTCAAAGTCCCAAAACAGGTTTAGATAATATCAAATGCTACAAGAATATAATTACTATACATGCTAACACTGATGGGAAAGTACTGTGCACAGTAAGACTAAGCCCTTTAACTTTCATCATTACTCTTCAAACTCAAGAAAGGTAGATTAGATTTTGATGCAAGAAAGAAATTAATTGTAGTACAATTCTGTAGGAAAAAACTTTTGCAATGTTTGGCTTTTTAAAACGAGACTGCAGTTTGATCAGCGAAGTACAGGTAAAAACATGATGACATGGCTATGATATACTAAGTTCTCAAAGGCAATTAATCTTTCGGTTAGAGTTCCATTTTAACTAGGAAAAAGCATGCATTATTAAGTAAAGCTAAAACAGTTTATTAGCTATTTCTTCAAAATCAGTTACCAAAAAATAGAAAATAAGCAAACATAAATGTTTCCATTGGGAATCTGCAAACACAAGTACTTGTTGCTAAGAGGTGATGTTTCCATCCATACTAAAAAAGCAAACCTACAGGCTCCGCTACTAAAACTCCTGGTAGGTAAGTGGTAAACACAGGGCCCTTAACAGACAGGAGATTTTTATGATAAGCTTGACTTTACCTGTTGGAAATAACAGGTAAATCTGATTTAACAATGGATTACAGGAGGACTGGGTAATCAACATGACAGCAACACGAATGGAAGAAATGTATCAATTTAAATTCTTCTAGTAGTCATAAAGTTCAACATTATACTGGTGGGAGTTAATCTGAACCATCCCACCAGCTTAGCCCCTCTGAGAAGCCGAGCGTTTCCACCAGAGCCGGATTCAAATGAGCCACTGGTGCACGGAGGAACTCAGCTGGACAACTGCCACAGGTGTTTCCCACTGCCCCAGTGTGGCACATGGAACTGGGGAGGTATGGGGTGGTTCAGAGACTTCTGTGAGGTAGCAGCTGCCTAGACTTCAGTTACACTCCCCTCCTACCTGCAATCCTTGCCCCGAAGTGTCTTGTGTTCATTTTGAAAAATATTTAATTATCCTGCATGGATAGTCTAGCCCTCATGATCAAGAAAGTGTAATCTCAATTGTAAGAGGCTGAAGGAGAACCAGCAGCCCTATCTGAAAGAAGATACAGCTGACCACTGGAATAAGGTATAAAAGCATTATGTTTTCTATCCTCAAGTATCGCCAATTACAGACAGAAGACATTTTTCTGAAATGTGGATATCTAGCACAGCAATAATTACATACAAGAGTTACTTTTATTTGTTTTGGATTTAAGAAAATCTGTGTCTCTACAAGAACAAATTTACCAGTACAGTGGACATACCCAAGAGTTATTTCCATTTTAAGATTAAATCTACATTTAAGATGAGGAATTAACTAGAGTCCATGCCCCCCTAGAAGAGAATTAAACACTGCATAAATTCACTGGAACTTGTCTATTACTATTTTGAAACTTAAGATTCTAACATTCCATAATATAATCCAAACACAGTCAAATCAAGCATCAAAAAAAAAAAAAACCAAAACCAAAACATTTAAAGAAAAGTCTTACCTTTGGTGCATGCACATAATCTGTCTGTGCCCGAACAGTATATCACAGAGACAAACAGATCTGGTTCCTCAGTGCCCTCTTTTTTAGGTGGCTCCACTTTGGCCAGAATTTCAAAGTTCGAAAGATCTAGTATTTTTACATATCCTCCCTGAGTAGTTATTACCAGGTGCCCAAGAGTAGAGATCTCAGATCTTCTCTCTCTCCCACTGCCATTTTTAGAGGTTAATTGTACATCCTCTACAGGCTCCTCACAGTCATCCTCTCGATTATCCAATATATCTGGTGGGAGCAAAATCATTGAGGTAATTGTGTCTTGGGGGTCTTTGATATGCTGGATTTTTACTGGTTCCTCCTCTAGAGTAACTATTCTAGTAGCATAATTCATCTTATAAAGCACTAGGTATCCACCACTAACACTTCTCTGTTCAGGCTGAATTATTAAAGGAGTTGGTACATCTGCTGGTGACTCATGCTGGATTACATCAATACTCGTGCCATTCACTACAGCAAGACTTGATTCTAGTTCCCCCTTCCTTCTATTACATAGTGCCGAGTTTAATTTATTTAAATTATTCAAGGCCTCTACTTGATTTATTGCACTCATTGATTCAACAGGACAAGTTCTCAGTCCTACTAACAAATGAACTCCATCTGCGCAAGGAGTGATTGAATCTACACACAGGTTCTCCTCCTCTGCAAACTTTGGCAGACGCAGGCACTGAACCAGAGTCCCAGGCTTGGGAACCATGGAGCTCCACTTGTCCGAGTCCGGAGAAGTTAGGTTGGCTGCAGCATCTGCAAACTGCTGAATGTAGGTCACAGGGGGGTCCTGTAACAGCAATTGCTCCTGACTGTCCAGCTCCATTTCAATGATCTGTGGAACTGTGAAACCATCATCATGTATACTTTTACTCATAATATTGTTCATCTGTGAAAAGAGTTTTCCTGCTTTTTCATCAGACTCCTTAATGCTGTATAGCAGCAACACAGGTAAAGTCCTCCTTACCAGAGGGGAATTCAGTTCTGAATTAGTGCAGGATTCATTGTCAGTTGATCCCTGTTCCGAGACACTTTCACCTCGAGTCCTACTTAAGCCATCCAGTGACCTCTGAGAGTTACTGCTCACAGGAGAGGTAGCAGGCGATTTGTATGTTAATAGACCTCCAGCTAATAAACAAGGAAAGGGAATGTTGTGTTGTTCTAGATGTTTTTCCTTCATCTTTTCACTCTTACAGTTGCCCAAACAGGGATTTGCCCCAAGTTCTTCTAGATCCTTAACCGTGTCTTCCAGAACATTTGCAACAATTTCCCACTGAAGTTTTTCGGGTTGCTGAAGAATGCTGAGAGCTGTTACATCAAGGCTGACTTCCATAGTTTCCTTTTGTGATGTATGCCCTTTAAAACAAAAATGTTTAACATAATATATGTTTCAAAAAAAAAAAAAAAAATCATATTGCATTTATTACTGGCTTATCCTCATCATTAATCAAAAAGTCACTGCTCTACACTTTCAACATGTTAAAACATTTCATATGTTCAAGATTTCATAGTCAAGAAACAATAGAAGATGCCCAGAAACATTATTTTCACATAGACTAATGGTTCTCCTAATTTTATCAACAAGAGTGAAAGTAAACAGCAGTCTCTTTCTATTATGCCCCTTCCTTCCTAGGTAATCCAGTACCGTCAAAAATGTGCAATTCTGCAGATTCATTCTCCAGCCAAGTTGAAAACCACATCATTTTACTCAAACTTGCTAGTTCCCATCATGTAACAGATCACCTAATAGAAAGAACTCAAAGATATTATAAAACAAAACCCAGTAAAAACTTGAGATAGCCTGTTCAAATTAAACAGCATTGCAAAAATAAGAATGGATCAGAAGAGTTCAACTAAGTAATGCAAAGATATAAAAGATGACAAAGGACATCGTACAAACCCAGATGGTTTGAGAGGTGGCTTAAGCAAACATAAGAGACCACCATCTTTGCTAATATGATGGTTGCAAAAAGTCCTTTTTACAACTCAAGTCCATTTTCTTGTGCGTATGCACATGTTCTTCTCCCTCCACTTCCTGACCCTTACTCAAAGACGTAAACTGGATTATGGAAAATAAACATAATCCTTTCTCCCAAAATTTCTGATTCAACCTCTAACAAAGTAGCACTGCTCTGCTTTCATATGAAATCTGTATTCAGGAAAAGAAACATTCTATCAAAGTGCATACCCACAGGGAAAAAAATCAAGATACAAGAACCCTCTGGCAATCCCCTGAATTTACAGGGTTTTGTACAGCTGCGATTTGTTCCCATTCTAAGTAAGTTCTTTTGACTTGGTTTGTGTGTTTTACTGACAGCAAGATAAGCAATGCTTGTAGTCAAATAAGACACTCATTAACCAAGTAGAGTTTTTCTTTTCTCCTGTATGTAATCTCTCCACCACACAGTGACTTAAATACCAGCACTGCTTTCAAGGTCAGTCTTTCTTCTTTTTTCTAATAGAGTAAATATAATATCATTGGTTTTGACAGGACTTTTTCAAAGGCCTCAGAAGAACCATCTCCCTCCTGACCTCTAAACTATTACACGCATCAAATATAAACCTACCTGTCACAGATTCCGATCTGGAATGCTCTTCACTGTCTGAATCCTCCAGTAGGTCATCACTGAAAAAAATAATGCACAAATTACTCCATGTACACTGTAGCTGGATTCTTAATTAAATTTTTAAAATTAGTAAAAAATACAATACAGGTATTATAACCTGGCATGTCTTAGTCAGCACTGTACATCTATTGATGAGTTGGACACTGACACTAACAATATAGATTTTTTTCCTCCTCTGTCATCAAACTAGTAGAGAGCAGCTTTCTGTTTGCCTTATTCTACTATTGTATTCTCAACAATTCAGACATAAATTGAATTAAAATGAAAGGCAGTTCTCAGGAATCTTTCCAAGAAAAAGAAAGCTAAACAAAGCTTCTAAAAACTGATGACACCTTCTTCAAAGTACCTCAAAATAGCCTCCGAAAGGTGGACCTGCCAGAGTTGTCTTCCTGTCTGAACCTGAGTTCTCCCAATAGTTATTCACTCTTTTGCTAGAGTTTTGGTAACATGAGAAAAGAGTAATAGACTGTATGAAGCATAAATGAAAGAATAGTGCTTTTTCCTCACATGATGCTTTCTAAGTCCCGGCATACCCTCTAGCTTATCTAAGAGATTGCAGCAGGACCGTAGAATTCTTTAGAGTCTGTATGCGTGCGTTAAAGGTACAAAATGAAAGTAATTCTTAGAACATCCACATAACTTAGTTCCAGAATGATATAACCAGAAATTACGGAGAACCAATCAGAGAAAAGCACATTCCAGAAGTCCACAAGTAGCCTTTACTTTCAAAATCTGAAATGCGAAATCCATAACTAAAAATGAAAAGCTGTTCCTAAACTTAAATTCCTTTCTCTTTTTTTTTGGTCTCTAGAACATAAGCACAGGGTAGCAATGAGATTTAGTAGCTGTCTGTTAGTGGAGTCAGGAAGTTAGATTGTTTTTTAAGTGTTGAATTGTGTACAGATACACACTGATTAAGAAAATTATCTCAATTAAAAAAAATTGTACCAATCTTATGTTTCACAGAGCATCACTTAACTAAATTACCACTTATACAGCAGCACTTCATATTTTTAGTTTTGTAGATTGGCATACCTGTCTCCTTCTAATTTTGGTATATCTGAGCAGCTAGATGAATCCTCTAGCCATGCTAGCGTTGGTCTCCTTGAGTCAACCCCTGAGCTCTGTTCTCCTGATAACATAAGTTGCTGCACAATAGCTGGATCATATGCATTGATCTCAAATTTCAAGTGGACCTGAGAAATAATAACAAAAAACAGAAGAGGTCTTTGATTTAAATCGAGATATGCTTAATCAGTAATTAGTTAATAAAAACTTGTTGTTCATATTGTATACCTTCATAAGTTTGGAAACATCCCATATGCAGATCTTTCCTCGTTTTGTTGCAGCAGCTAGAAAGTGAGGGCAACTTCCAGATCCAAAGCATGCTATTCTGTCAGTGCCATCTGCGCAGGGAAACTGGGCTGGACTTGTTGCCAGTGTGACTGAAAGAGGTACATTCTGAGTGTGCTCACCCTTGACAAACGGGCAGTTTGGGGAATGTCTCTCATGTTCAGACCTTTTCATATTAAAAAAAAAGCAAACATTGATTTCTTACTGTGAAAATTCTACAGACCATATACAAACTCAGCCCTTGAAGTGAAGCCAAAACTGAACTGTTTGAACTGCACTGCAGTCAGTCATACAAGAGACTTCTGAAGTTACAACTACAGCTTTCCCTGCAGCTTCTCAATAGCAAACTGTATTAAAGCCTTTGATCATTTAACATTCAGATTCAAATGGAGGAATCTACACACAGTGGTCTTACTATAATTAGTCCATTTAAAAAAAAAAACCTGTTCTGTAGGCAGTAGCCCATCGTATTCCTATGAAGAAAAGCACAGATTAAATTCTACAGAACATACATTAGAACTCCAATGTTATGAGATATTACTACAAGTAACCTCAATAAAATGAAGTAATGTTCTGTCTTTAGTTCTACATCCACAATTACAAAAATCAAAATTAAAACAGTCCTGAATGACACACTGACCAAGAAGCATGAAAAACCCTTCTTATCTCAATATATACATAAGGCAGAGACATAGCAAAGAGCAATTACACTACTACAAAACGTCTGGAAACTCACAAGGGAAAGGAGGAGACAAGGACTATGAAGATAATATTATCTAATAATGATAGACAATATGAAGATATCTAATATGAAGTTAACATTATTATAATAAAATTATTTCCTTACAAAGTTAAGTTTTCAGTAAGTCAGGAATCTGATGTGTTCAAATAACAACTAAAAATTACTAAATAATCAAGTAAAAAATTACATTAGGAACTCTTTTAAAATCAATATAAGATCCTGCATTTCTGTCACTACGCACAATTTTAAGTGATTCAGGAAACTAGTAATGGATCTTGCAATTTCACATAAAAGGAAAATATGCACTGCATGGTCATTGCAATTTAAGATCTTAGAGATGTGTTCTAGTCACAATCATAGAGAAGATTGAGTTTAGATCTCTGCAAAGAAATGCTGGCTGCCATCTTTGCCATGGAATAATTTGAAATCAAGTGGCAAATCAGAATTAAGAAATAAAATGAGCTACAATTTTTTGGGTTTAGTATTATATATAAATTTGACACAGTGCAGGGAATTATTTTGTGGTTTGTCTTATCAAATCATTCTGGAAATCCACACTTCTCAGTGACAGTCCCTAAACAACCCGAAATCCCATCAAGATAATGGTGATCTTTCTCCTCCCAAGATTTCCAACCTCTTCAGTACAAAGTTAAGTCTACTTCAAACATCATTAAACTTACCAGGGTTCATCTGTGGGCTCCCAGCACACCAAACACACACTACAGGTAAAGCACATAGCTCTGTCATCTCCTGATGAAGCAGGCTATAAAAATGAGAAGAAGCACTTGAAATTTATATAGCTATGTGTATGAAACACTTTAACCAGGTGATCAAGTCCTCTCCTTTTTCCAGTGGCACTGCAAAGCACCACATCAAGCGTACAAAAGACCACAAATTACATACTATAAAGTGGTAGTATTAAAAAAAAAAAGGATACACCACATTACTACAGAAGAAATTCAGAACGAACACCAGTGCAAGCCACTGGATAAAAACCATAAAGACATAGAACAGAACTCAGCATCACTGCTAAGACTTTTTTTCCTTTGGGAAAAAGTTCACAAGGTTAAAAAAATTTAGAACCTCGGTAGAATAACTGTACATCTGCATGTTTGGAAAAAACACAGGTTAAACAAGTATTTCCTATTATGCCTTCAATCTGCTGGAATATAAAGCATTCTCTATCACTTCTCTCCAAAGAGCAGTTGTTACCAGATGAAGTGACAAGAAAAAGAATGGAAATTTCTGTTTTCTTAAAACTTAGCATTTTCATGACCACATTTCCAGTCGCTGAGACATGCTTGGAAATATGCAGGTGCATTTCTCCTCCTGAACAAGCTTAAGAAATCCTCCAAAAACACTATCCACTTGCACCCATCAGTCTTTGCAGTTGACACGAGGCAGACAACATCGATGTCAAATGCCGTGCACTGCCTAGCCATCGTTACCTAAATCCATACCATAAATATTTTTTACAGTATAAATAATTTCAAAAAATGAAAAATGGAAATAAACAAAAGTAGTGGAATAAAATGTTGAGGTTGTACTCATTCACTAAGCTTACTAATTCAGTAATGTGGATCGAGGACCACTGTTTGTTACAATACAGTTCAAATCCCACTAGGCAAGTATGGTTATAAAACTCCAATGTCAAGCTTATTGCTTTTTTTGCTTTACTTATAAAGAGGATATTTACTCAACAATCTAATAAGGAGAGAGACTCTGTAAGAATCAACTTCATCTTTATTATTGATTTTAACTCAGATAAATCTGATACTTAGAAGTGTTTTATATGCTGAAGTTCAGAACAGTATTTTCTGTGATCTGTACAAAAAAAAGTAACCTCAAGGCATGAAAAAACCCTGAAACTTAAAACCAGAAAAGAGCTGAATGACAAAATTTTTGCATTATGGTCTTTGCATCACTGAAGGAATGCATTTTAAAAAAACAAAACAAAACAAACTACTACAACCAACAAAAATACTTTTTCCCCCCTACTCCCCAAACCTTCACCTAGTGAACAAATACTAAGAACAACTAAACCTTTTTACCTGGTGATAGAACCCAGCTTGAGCCATAGGATCTGGCTGTGCCCACCTATAGCCCACATGAGGCCATGAAGTGAATGTCTCCCGTCTGTTAGCCTCACTATACATCAAAGACCTAGAAAGGTGAAAAATTTTACATTACCCAAAACTGCCACTTAGAATAAAAAGTTGAGACATTTTCAATGTTTCAGTAACCATTACAAATACCACAGATAGTTGCAGACAACTTAAAATTATCAACTATTACAGAAATGTTACAAAATTCTCTTACTTGGGTGCCTAAAGCACAGCTTCAGCAAAAGACCAAAAGCAGTAAGACAACCAACAGGCCCTAAAAGCAAGATTAATAAAATAAGCTTCCTGGTAGCCTGTTTGGTCTAACTGCAGAAAAGCATCATATATTCAAAGCTACTCTGAATTTAGGGAAAATGCACAGTCTAGCCCAACAAAACTGTTAGAGAGTTGGGTTTTTTTAACATGACAACTACTGCAAAAGTTGGGGTTTATTAGTTGAACAGATACATATTTGCTTATTTAAAAATACTCCAAAGCAATATTTTAGGGTTAACTGAATACCTGGTACAAAACCCTCGACATTTGTCACTCACTGCATAAATGCTTGAAAACTACAAACTACCGAGTCACAAAATAGGAACTCCTCCGCAACTCAACATCTACAGAGAAAAGAAGCTTCTCTCTTTTCCACATTCACTCAGTGTCTTATCTGAAAGATTATGCAAGGAACAGCTACCAGCTTTTTTTTTTCCTTGACAGAAGTTTGTTCTCCAGTATCATCCCAAGAATTAGTGCTGCTAGACAGGAAAGTGCCTAACTTCTTGTTCCTGCCCCTGAGTTTCAGGAGCTTTTTGCTGTCTTACAAGAGTACGAATAAATTCAGCTTTTCCTACTAAGGAAAAACTATTCTTGCAACACCACATAAGGGTTGTCTTAACCTGACATTATACAATCTGATGAGACAGATCTCAGAGAGCTCTAACCAAAAATACAATATGGCGAGGTACAGGCAGAGCTGGAGGGTTGGGGAGGGGAGGTAAAGAGATAAAATCAATTTTATTAAATTATTTGAGCTGTAACAAATGATAATACACTTGCAAAATAGTGTTTGTATAGAAACTTACAAGAAGGAATTGATGTATAGACTTAGAAGATTTATCTAGTATTTTAACTAGTCTTGGCTTATGAAGGTTAAAAGGTTGCTCACTTGTGTACACACTTTCTGACCCCAAACACATAGCAGGTGAGAAGCAGGTTCAGAAGTGTATATATGAGTGTGTGTGTGTAGATAAATATATATATATATATATATCTCGCAAAGGTAACAATTTCCTAAACTTCTAAAAAACAAAACATAGGCATAACTCTTTCTTGGGTGAAGGAAAGGGAATCAATTTAACGATACATCATTGTATGCATGCTCTGTCTTGGGTAGACAAATGAGTGTTCACACTCAAGAGGGGCATACTTGCTCTTGAAGTTACACAGTTGCTGAACATCTCGACATTGCAGTCTCAGTAAGGTTTCAGTATTAGTTTGAGTAAAGTCAGTAACTGCAGTAACTAGTCATACACACTTGACTGTTCAGATAAAACTCACCATCAGACATGATGAAGAGAAAAGCCTAGGTGAACATATCACATTAACGTGTTACAATACCATCAGGAGACCTATATTTAGGACTGTAATTGTTACCTTTCTGAAAGTATATGTTGGGATTAAGAGGAAAGTGAATTCAATTTGTCTGACACTGAAGTCAGAATCCAAACAAACAGTCTTGTGGCATCCATAAAGGTTTCTCTAAGTTCAGTAATACATACAGTGCACTGTGCACTGAACAGTTAATTAGCAGTTTGTGTAAGAGCGAGAAAGTACAGGACAGGACTAATTCCTTCAGCAAATAAATTAAGTCATTTAAGAGCTTACTCTGATATACCTAAGGGATCAAATTCATCACTTATTTTGTCTTAATATACCTGTCCACAGATCGACCAGGTCCCACACCAAGTTCTGGCCGTGCGCTAGGTAAGAGGTAAGATAACCTATCCATCACAGAGGATGCTACAGGTAAGGCAGCAATATTTTGATTTATCTTCTTGAGTTCATTTACAATGGCACTGGCGACAGACTTCAAAACATGATGAGGAAGGTGGAACGTAACCGTTGCCCACTAAATTAAGAAAAAAAGAAGTGTCTAGTTCAGATTTTGAAGTTTTAACATCTAAACAACAAAGTGTGAAAAGCAAAACCAAACACACACATAAACAACATGGACATAATGCAAGGAAAGTTAATAACTTCAGATTTAAGCTTAGTTGGGTTTATCAGCAATAAAATAACCTTGTTTGTTCTAACAACTGAAATTTCACACAGAGGAACTTAGAAACACATCATACATTCTGTCCTCTTCAAACAAAATCCACCACACACTGGTGAAGCATTTTGCATGCTTCAGTAATGGTAGCCAAGCAAATCAGACTTGGAAATCCATGTTAGACAGTACAGAGACAAATTCTTACCTTTGCAACTTTATGATTTGCTGCTGTTTCATGTGAGGTATTTTTTAAACCATCCTTCAGTTGGGTGATGAATAAGTCATATCCCTCTGTGCTAGAAACATCGACTTTTTCTATGCAAGCAGACAAGAGCTGCTGAGCCTAAAATGCAGATGTGCAATAAAAGTTAGCATCCATGTTGAGTAACTACAGACAGGAATTATGCCTGTTTCATTACACTGGGAGATGTAATTTGTCTTATCCTACTTTATATATATTTTATCAGCATAATTCCCATAAAAGACCCAAAGTTGACTAAGCAGTTCCAAATTTTACTCTGTAGGCTCATCGATGGATAACTCCAGCAACAGTGACAGTAATTACTACAAGTTCACTCAAGGGCAACATTACTAAACGCTAAACAAGTCAGTCATTAATTAAAAAAGAACATATATTAAAACAAAGCAAAACGGAGACATCTATTGCCCAATGTTTTTCACTTCAAAAAAATTCATTCAGCTTTAGGAACAAAAAGTGAGAACAACAAAGTCTTGACAGTTTGCTGAGCAGCTTTGTATCTTCAAAAAAGTAGACGATAATGGGAAAAACAATGTTAGAAAAAAATCAGAGATAAATTACTTACAATGCTAGTATAATGAAACTGAAAAATGAGGCAGACAAAACCAAGCTAGTTTAGAATCCAGATATTCTTAAAACCTACAAAAGAACACTACAAACATCCATTTATAGACTTTCTTCCTTTCAATTCCCATCTGTTTCTAGCTTGTCCCTCTACTAACTTCACGTCAACAGGTACGATTTAAAAGGTATGCTTTATGTGCAAAGCACGGAGTAGTCTATACCTGTTGTCAGGTGGGCTAACATCTGAAAAATGTATGAAATCTTTCAGGTTACTAACTCAGGGAGACAGAAATAAGGCAAATCTTAGCTAAGGCTGTGACTGTTTCTCATATTTCAATAAAAAGACAATTACAATTTTTGTGGCATCTTTTGCTTCCCAAGTCTCTTGCAGGTGACAGAGAACAACAATCTGATTCGTGGAAGTTTATACATTCACAGTGTTCTACAGGGACGTAAAAACAGCACAGAGGCTGCATCCTAACTTGTCAGTGTTCCTGATCAGAAATGCATAAAGATGCACTGCATTACCAGCAGATCAATCATATAAAAAGACTACTTAAATTAAGTGCAAAAATTCGCAGAGAACTTCTAGCAACTAACAAAAAAAAAAAAATAAAGGCTCTTGCTTGGATAAAGGTTCTTGACCTTCCTATGATGAGAAAGGTGGACCTGACACATTTGCATGACATTTGCTTAATATTTAATAACATATTCTAAGGTTTGGGTACTTCCTCTTTAAATATAAAGGTACGAACTGAAGACTGCTGATGTTTATCCTCCCACCTCACTGATTTGGCCATGAACTCTAGAAATCTGTGCCTACTCAACTAGAATTTTTTTTTAATTTTTTTTTTTACAGGAAGGACATTTACAAAGAAGAATTCTCTCTTTAACCTTGAAATAACGGTCCGTAAACTCTTTAGAGCCAAAGAATTTTTAGTTAAAACTGACACAGACTTATAGGTTGTACTGAACCATGTGAGACTGCAAACCAGTGACACCAAAACCTACAAAAGGAAATGCTGACCTCTGTCAATCTCTTCACACTCAGTCAGATGCCCCAAGATTCTGCAGTTACCCATACAGGGTGTAAAAAAAGATGCCAGTGGCAGCAAGCCCGAGAAACCTGGAAAGCTCTCTTCAGAGACCGCTATGAAGCAACATTTTATTGCCGTTTCTTCTACTCTAAGCCAAGTAGTTAAAAACCTCACATATAAAACCCATTCTTGGTTCATAATAAGCACCTATTATTCAATAGTACAAGAGCACAAATATTTTAAATCAATCTCAGATAAATTTTTTGGTTCGTCATTCAATATAAATTTCTTTCCCATAGAGATGAGTGGGAAGTGCTCTCCTCAGAGTGCTTTATTCAGAATCTGGATCTAGTAGTCCAGTTTTGTTTATTGTAAGCACTGTGCTAAATGTTACCATTGGCAGATGCCCTATGCTTTTCCCAAACAAAGCCTTAATCTCACTTGTAATTAAAACTGTATAGATTTATTTTTCCAGGTCTATTACTTCATGACCACTACAACAGTGAATGAGCAACGCTACTTTCCCCAATATCCAGTGCCTTAGATCAGAAGCAGTTGCTAGCTATCTTGTATTAGGCAACAACTGAAAATAAGAATGTGCATGTCACCTCACCTCAGAAGTGCTATGCTACCTGAAAGAAAATCAATGCAATAAAATCTTAAGTACTACACTCTAAGCAAAAATGTATACATTAGATTCCCTTAAAGTGATACTAAACACCTGGTTCTATTGTCTCAAACCAGGAGGAACTGCATTACAGCTGTGATAGTCCAAACATAAAAAGGTAGCCAGGTTTGCAGGCAAAAAATTATTTCATTAGGCCAACTGATCTAGCTAGAAAAGTTAGATTCCACCATTAAATCTTCACATGCAGCAACATCATATTAGCTGACTTTGTCTTTTTTTTTTTCCTGAAAGCCTAAACCAAGAAAAATCAAGGATGCCTAGCAGCCCAGACTGACTTTTCCAGAAGTCCATACAGATGCCATACATAAACACTGACAAAGTTCTGGAAATGAGTCCTTACTTGTGGTCACTAAAAAGTTCTTTTGTCTGAAATAACGTGCTCTTGATGAGGAAAGATCTTACTTGTTTGAGATATGGATAACTGCAAAAAGCTATTGCCCTATGATAGCCAATAACAAAGAAACTTTTCCATTACATTCTGTTAATATCACACTGGAAACTCAGAGTCAAACGTCTGGTTTCAGTATTTCCGGCAAGTTATTTACATACCCTCTGTTGGGTTTTTTTTGTCCTCTCCACATCTTACCTCTGTAACTGGCAATTCAAGCTGAACCACGTCATCTTGTTTTGAAACAGGCGTTTGCAGAGCTGTGTCTAACAGTAAGATGCCATTGAGATCTTTCCTACATCCTACTGCATAATCGTCCACAAAGATCACTTTATCCACAGCTGAAATATACTGACATTTCACCCGTCCACCTGGTTTAGCTATAAAGGGAAAGACAAAAAGCAAGATCTGATTAGAAAACACCTTTTATAAAAGACCTTTAATATCTGTTCCAGAAAATAATGTTAAACTTCAGCAAAAATCTTTTTTTCTTGAGATGGCAAAAACCTGTTACAACTTTCAGCAAACTTTCATATTTCCTACATTAACACCACACACAATCAAAATCTATAAATCCCATCCACAACTACAACCATTTTATTCATACAATGGAAGCCAATACTCTAGGCCTGTTGCTACCAGGAGGCCTAAAATAGTATTTTCAAGCCTAATGTAAATACCTGATGTACTTGATGTTAGCTGACAATCAATGATAACAATTACATTGTACAAATCAGTATGAAAATTCAGACAAAACTGCTAAACTACCATTAAGGCCAATTACCACCATTTCATCAAGCAAAGCAATTCTCAAACTTCTGAAAACCAAGTACAGCATTTAACATGTGCCAATGCTACACATGTTCCTTGAGACACTAAGGTCACTTATTTCTGCTCAGCACTGCACACATGATGGCAGTAACCGGTTAGAGAAGTTTGGTGGGGGTGAAGGAAGGCTGCCAGCAGATAAATAAGGAAAGGCTGTGACAACGGATATTATCCCCAGAAACATTTGATGCTATTTGACATTATTACATGTCTAAGGCTGGACGGAATGTAAAATTAAATCCATCTAATATGGCATGAGTGGAGAAGGCAAATTGCTCTAATTCACAGAAGGTGTAAGCTGCTGGTACAGGAGACTGTATGGATGTTATAAGTATATGGACACATCATGCAAAGGGCAAAGCTGAAGTCGCTGGACTGGCAACATAGATCTCTTCTTGTTGCACAGGAACAGGAGCTTCATTAAGTTTTGCAACAATCAAGTTCTGCCTTCGTTTTCCTCTTTCCTCAGACACTGGATACTATTTTTATTATGAATAATTAAAAATCACCATTTAGGTAGCTTGCATCCATATAAAGACAGTTACATAATTCTGTCGTCTTCACACTTTGATAGAGATAAATGGAAATTAAAACTTCTCCAAATGTAGGGCACATCAAACCAACCACACTGCATTTATGGTATCCTCTCTCCAAAACTCAGGTCAAGAATGGTTGTCAGCTGCCCTTCTCACCAAAATTTTGGAAACAATGACTCATAAACTCTCAAAATATACATACGCCTTTGCCTGCATGAAGTATACAGCAATTGTAATCACTGCTGTAACAGTCAGAAACACTTCAAGAGCCCTGGAATCACTTGATCATTGCAAAGTTCTTAGTGCCAGTTTGATAAAAAAGGGCCCTCTGAATGGCAAATCAACTAGTTTCAGCCTCTATTTTTGTCAATACAACAGGGTTCCTCACACAAGACCTTCTACAGACAACACAGCTGCACGCAAGGAAGTCAGTCATTCTACAGAAAAATAACGGTTTTGACAAAAATTCAAATACAACTTTTAACGTCTTTAAAAGTATTAGTTTCAACAATGCACTGGAAACTATTATGTAAATAAACAGAAAGGTATCTGATGCCATAAATGAGAAACCTCAGTAGATTTACACGGTGTTTGCAGTCTATTCAGTTTGTAGTCTATTCACTGTCTTTAACCTATAACTTCTCTCCTCCTCCTTCCCAGAGGAAAATGGGAAAAGTAACTCACCCTTTCTGGCAGTGCCAACACCATGAATATCTTCTTTCATACTTCCTTTACTTCCTGCCAAGCACAGGAGTATGCTCATGCCCTATGATCAGCAGTTCAGCAGCCTGTAGAAGCCCCAGCCCTTGTGGCTTTCCAGACTGGACCATTCTTATTTTATCATTTCTATAGTGAAGTTAGTGAAATCTCATGTCTGAACAACCAAATGGCTAACTAATATCTTCCACCTAAGTCCAAATTTTGAGAAGTCAATGAAGATTAATAGTGAGGTAGACAACATGCCTGATCAACATAGTATTTCTGCTCGGTGAAGAAACAACCCAAAAAGTTATAACCTCAGCACAAGAAGCACATTGCCTAACAGCTGTGATTCTCACTGTGCTGGCTAATATTTTGGTTGGTTACATTGTCAGAAGGGCTTTGGCCAAACTATCTCTAGAAAGTTATTTCCAGTTCCTGGTTGCATTCTATTCGAACCACATAAAACCAAAGCAAACTGTAGCCTAAGTTAATGGAGCTTCAAGGAAATAATTTCATCGATATTTAGTGTCATTCCAACACCCTGGGAAACACATTCTGCAACTGACTGGTTTACACTTTGAGTAGCCTCCAAACTGTTGGCAAGCTATTTTGCAAACTTAGGAGTTTAATTTTGAAGTTCAGGAAACGCATTTCCAGATGGTTCTACTACTAGTCACAAACTGTATCACAGTTCACATTCAGCTGGCCGTATGATTGAAACTGCATGCTACATTATGGTATGTCATCTATACCAACTTTAGAACTAGCAACCTGAAAACTTTAAGTAAAACTAAATAAACATCAGATTGCAGAACTGAAAAATTTGAGAAAAGGAACATTCCCCCTCCATCTTCTTTGTTTTGAACAATACAGAACAGAAATCAGCAATTTCCTGTGATCGAAATCTGACCTACAGAAATATTACAGAAAACAAACTTGTTTGGAGAATATGCAGCAGTCTAAGCAGCACCTATCGTGCCCTCTTGTCTGCAAGCATTAAGATAAACTAAACTAATTAGAGAATTAGTCTTGTGTTTCATGTATAAGAACGAAAAAGCGTGTCTCCATTTTGATGCTATAGATAGCTCTAGCCTCAAAGCTTTAGAGGTTAAGAGAAAGTGGCTGTCACCTGAATACACATGGCCACCATCATGAAGAGATGTAGATTAATGCCAATATAGTAACACCTTTAGTATTTTTTATAATTGAAAAAAGTTAATTCACCTTGAAAACTGCTAGCCAGGAATGGCACTGAAGCGAAGTCAGTAACTCTCTCGACAGGAAGTTTCCTGCACACAGTGCACTGCAACCATGGGGAGCTAAATGGATCAAGTTTCAGGAGATGAAAAGTCCTGTCTATCGTATTAACTTTGTATCATTAGATTTGAACCTTAAGTTACTCAAAGGCAAAAGAATACAAAAACTCAGGAGAAGGGAATGGTACAACTGTGTGGGTGTGAAGCTTCAGGTTTAGGAGGTACTATCACCCATGGTAATATGCCGTGTGAAAGTCTCCTTCCAGAAACCAGGTTAGCAGACAGCAAAACTATCCTTTCCATCAGAAACAAAAATGCTTCTTCCCAGAAGATCGCTCAGCTACTTCTCACACCTTTTTCACATATATATACACACCTGGAATTAAAAAAAACCTTATCTATCCATTGTCTTCATTTGTTGCGAGACAGGTGCCTCTCCTATTGCTACTATTTTACATAATCATAAAACCAACTGAAAAAATCCAGTTAGCAAACAGAACATCTCATTGTATGCTATCTAAGTACTACAAGTTTGCCATGGCAAGCATATGAGAACACTTGCAGTTTGAAGAAGTTCTACAATACAAACTACAACAAAAAAAACTGTCTTAAAAGTTTAACTTGCTGTCTTAACTTGCTATATATTTGTAGAAAACTATTTTGAGCTAACACTACATAAAATGACAACCATGGATTAGTTGTAAATGGGTAACATTTTCACATGAAAGAGAACAAAACGCAAACCACCGCAAGTCTAGTTTAAAAAGGAGAAAGTTGTCTCTAAATTGTACACCCAATTGTGGCTCCCAAAGAAAACAAAGAGTTATGAACATTTGGGAACACAGTAATGAGAAGATGGTCCATCATTACTGAATTCAGCAGTTCTAGGCTCTCTTGTTTCTGCTCTTCTCCTCACCTACATCTTCAGTGGAGATTTCCAACAGTGCAGTTTTATTATCCAGGTCCAGGTCCAGCCCTTTGTTTGCTCTAGACATCACCTCAGCAAAGTACTCTGCTGCCACCATGAAGACATGGCATGAGTTCCTCCTTTCCCCAAACAAAAGCATTCTCAGACTTGAGGAAAGAATGGAAAGGAAACTATTGGATGAAAACAGGTCCAAGTTGCTATTTTAGATGAATGACGTACATAGGCTTAAACCGGTTATACACAAGCAACATTTTCTCTTTTAGATTTCACTATATACACACACCTCCACCTGGCCCATCACACCTGGAAGAGCAGTCCACAATGACTGAATAAAGCAAAAACACATTCAGAGCTGAAACAGGAAAGAAAATCATAAACATTCTCCGAACAGCAAGAATGGTAAAGGAAGCAGAAATACCCAGTTTAACATCACAAAGTGCCTTCAAACTCCCTTATTAGCCAAAACTGGATTTAGTTAATCAAGAACAAGACATGTGATACACCATTTATCTTTTCCTTTAGCAACAAACAGGACAGAATTGCTTCAGTATCAGTTTCATTATATGACAGCTGGTTTTAATAATTCTTACAGAGTAGGAAAGTGCGTTATCTGGGCCAAAGCATTGGAGACTGCCACATGAATATTAACTAGATGTGTCTGATCAAGCAGCTACTAACAGAAGCTAACATTAACACTTAAAAGGTTTCAGAACATAAACAAAAACCCACTGAGATCAAGGCAGTTCATATCTCAGTAGCTTTGCACGCATAGGGTCCTCCTCTACTCTGCAGGCTTAAACCGAGACTGAACCAGCAGGAAGACACTGGTGAGCTCTTTGTGCCCACGCTTTTTGTGTTGTATCAGATCTCCATGTACCTAACATTACTGTCACCTTGTATGCCGTACAGAACACAATTGCTCACAGAGCTTTAAAATATTATCCCCAAAAATAAATTACAAAAGATTTCACCAGGTATTCTACAATCCTTCCCACAAATTCAGGTAAACTCCAAAAATTTAAGTCCCTGCAAACACCTCACAGAAGACAGTGTCTTCTTCAAAATTTTTCTCAAAGCGCAAACTATGATTTAAAATTTTCAGGAAATTTGTCTTTCACAAATTGC